TTCTTTCCCCCGCATGGCAGTGGACGTCTGCCAAGTGGAAAGAAACTGAGAGGTTAATTAGGTGGAGTAGATTCTGATGTTCTGCTTCAAATGAAAATCCAATGACATCCACCGTCATCCATCTCCGTCGAGCCTCTCTGTGTGCACCTATCCTGCTGCATTGAAACGGCAGTCAAAAGGTTAGGCATACAGACATCTGCAGGGGTTCATCTCCCTATGTCAAATATTGGGAACAGACTGTACCCTAATGTCATTACTTCATGACCACAGTCGTATAATCAATGATAAAAACCATTGCATATTGATTTGCCCCAGCTATTTGGTTTATACAATGTGGTCTCTGTGGAAGCGGAGGGATCAGCTGCACAGTTCTGCAGAAAAATGTGTGAAACCCATTGGAAGAGAGCACACAAATATTATCTAATCTTAGCTAAATTAAAAAGTCAGATCATGGGTGAAATTGCTTTATATTCATTTTGCATCCTTTGCTTCTCTCAAGGTGTTGGGCAAATGTTTACTCTGGTCTTTTACTGATAGATAATTTGCTTCCTGTGGCCTTCAGGCGGTTTCTGTTGTGCGCACATCAATATTTCATCCATTCAAGAAGAACAGGCGAAAAAACAAAGCATCACTTCCTTGAGGTTGAGATCATTCAGTGTTGTGGAGTTGTGTGTGATTTGTGTTACGGTTTAATGGGGCTTGTCTGTCTTTCCTGCTTTTTTCGTTTTTTCAGGGTGCATCAATTTGATTTTCATACACTGAAAAGTCATGGTGAATCTTCAGGGAAAAAAACACTGATATGTAATTGTTACAGCTGGCAACTCACTGTATGATGGATGTGTTTTTATCTAAAGACCAAAACAATATGTCGTAAATACCAACGTTGACCTTTCAATAATACAATGCACTGTAGGTGTTACTATAATATTGTGTATTACACAAATATTGTGAGGATGATAGACTGAAAAATGGGATTCCAGCACATTTTCATAGAGTTTAGTAATAAAAGATAAAATCCAAACACATTTCTGCTTCATGGTCACTAGGAGGACTGCAGCATTGTTTCCCTTCTAAAATGATCTGTCATTGAAAAACCTGAAAACTCTCCAAAAATGTATCTCCTCTTTCCAAGATTAATCTGGAGAGGTTCGTTGATTTTACTTGGCTGTCACATAACTCTGAAAATGTCTATGAAGTTTTCTCCTTGGTCAGCGATGAGGAAAGTTTCATATTAACGGCAATTTGCACTACCTCACGGCACGGCTGCCAGTGTTGCAGTGGTTGCGTCACCCGTGGCATTGCTGGGAACGCCATGGTGATGAACTCTGTTTGGCTTTTTGCACTTAATGAATGCATCGGTTCAAAGTAAAGTCCACGCGTTCAAATCCTGCTTCACTTCATAGGGAGGCCGTGGTGTGTATAGTAGAACTTATAATTATTTGTTGAAGCGTGATATAACTTCTCTGACTTTCTTTTTTATAAGTTACATTCATCTATTTGACAGCCTTAATAAATGTCATGAGTAATGAGCTGGCAAGCTTATAACAACTTATCAACATACACTGATCAGCCACAAAAGAAGGCTGTGTAGTAACTTCTCAGGATGTCAAACACTTGGAGTAGGCAGAAATAAAAAAAATCCACAGTGAGTGAGTGGGAAAAATCCAATTTGCTCATGAATGCAAGTTTAAGATTTATGGCAGTAACAAAAGGGCGTGTGTGCACACGGACAAGTGACAAATAAAACCTGCCCCCATCCACAGGGCGTGAAGGCTCTCTGATGGTTTCATGAATATGAAGATGGTATGAATCATATGGCCTTCAACCAGTTTTAATGTTGTGGCAGTAACTGACAAAAGTGTGTAAGAGAATTCATAGTAAAAGTGTAAACATTCAACACACAAAAGAAACAACTTTTTCTTCCTTCCTCTAATTCAATACTCATCAGTAAATGTGAACCTTAGAGTTATCAGAAAATCACAGAGTGAAATTCTTCAGCGTCGATTGACTGAACTCATATGAGACATATGAATATGGCTCTCAGTGATGGCACTAAAATAAAAGTGTTTTTGTGCTACTGTGATTTATCTGCCTCTCAAAGTCTTTTATAGATTCAAATATTGTTGTGTTTTACTTATTTTGTCAGGATAACAATGGCTGCTTGAAATGTCAATGTAAAAAATCGCCTTCAAGATTTAAATTGTCCCAGAAAAAACGTATCAACGCGCATTTAATGATCAAAACTATAACCTGACAATAGCCTCACAACCACAGACTGTATATAAAGACCAGTAATTAACATTCGCAAAAATTGTTGTGCAATAACAAAAAACTTGACAACTAAACTTGCGTTTAGTTTGTCCAGCTTGGATGACTATAAAAACATTGCAGCCTCCACAGAGAGGACATCACAGAGAGGACACCACAGAGAGGACACCAGTGAAAACATCACTAGGATTATTTTATATTCAATTTCTGCCAAAAATCCCTTTCACCTAAATCTTACTCACTGAACCTTTATTACTTATCAACTCTGCTATGGATACGCCAGGAGTCCTCTTGGAAAACTCTGGGGCGACCGAGATGTTTGCAAACGATGACTTAGACACTCACAACCGCTTGTTAATTGGTTGTCTTCGGTCGCGACGCAGCCATTGGTGATTCGTCAAGCTGCTATCACATGACTGCTTTCTGAAAACAAACAGCCTCAGCCACCAGTGTAGAACACAACATTTCAAATCAATCAAGTGTTGCTGACCCTGTTGTCTTTGCAAACAGCCGGTCACTATAATCATGATATGAAATTTTCAAATGCTTCATCTCTACCTGGAACCAAGTTCAATCACTCATTTGCGACTGATTGAGATAAACTAGTCTGCTCATATAACACTTCAGTGAAACAGTGGCTGAACACTGGTGTGTGTGCTGGGACTGATTAAGTCAAACAAGTGATATAATTAAAATGAATCTCCAGTTAGTTCAATTTCTTATCTCAATATTATTATATTGGTATCAGACCTAGGTCATTGTGTACTGGTTTCCCTAATTTGTGCAAACAGGATCATTAAATTCCCAATGAGCCCTTAGGAAATTGGTGCCTTGGTGATAAATGCAAGACAAAAACACTGCTGTTGTAAATATGTGGTTCCTAAAACACAATTTATAAATGAAAGTGCCTTCTCTTAATACATGTTGATAGCAAAAAGGGACAGACAAGAAGAAGCACTGATGAGACAAGAGTAGAAAAGGCAATTCATGAAAAAAACTAATGGAAAGTATATGCAGCCTGTATAGTCTATATGGTAAGGTGCTACAACAGCCCCCCCTCCCTTTATATAAAGAGAAGTGGGACCCATTTTGTAAGATTTGTTTAATAATTCAGTGCAGCCTTAAACCAATTCACTTCAAGTGCCCAGATGGTATTTTTATTAGGCAAAAATGCTCGATACTTGAGAGGAATAATTTACTTGCGTTCTGAAAACTGGCTTGGTACCTTCGAGCCACACAGAATTTACTAAGCACGGCATCAGTCGGGCCCCTTCTTCAGGGTACTACTTCAGCAAAACAATAATTTTCATGAATATCATTGAGTTTGTGCTGGGGCGGCAGATGAGGAATGTGTGTGTGTGTGTGTGT